AGAAGAGAGTCGATTGGAGAAGGGTTTGGGAAGAAGGGAAGAAGATGGAGAAGAAGAACGGTAGGGAAGAAAGAAGAGAGTCGATTGGAGAAGGGTTTGGGAAGAAGGGAAGAAGATGGAGAAGAAAAACTGTAGGGAAGAAAGACAAGACGGGAAGAAGGAAGATCGAAGAAGAAGAAGCATACTGAAACAGTGGCCAACTGCCTTTCGTACACGCTTCGAAAGCTCTTCAATACAGATAGCCACGCGTACTCATCTCAGCTCACGCGCACATTCCCCGACGCGTTTCGATCTGTTGCGCTCTCCGATCCTCCTCAGGGGGCTAATCTCTTGACCCTTACCCCTGCCTTGCGGCCCCCCCGCCGACAATCCTCCCGTCCTACTGCTTACTGAGTATAGAGCACCAATACAGCCTTCTTGTCCTCCTCCTATATACAGTCCATCGAGTTGTAAAGCCTAGCCAGCACGGTACTCCCATCCCAACGGGCACTTCCACGAGCGACTATGGCTACGACAGGCTCTGTCGCATAGCCGTTTTTTTTTTTTTTTTTTTTTTTTTTTTTCGCCGCATAGACGTTATGCCGACCTCCGTAATGATCCGTTACGTGTCGGCCCCTCAACGGGCTACAGATAGTCAATCCACGTCAGTTTCCAGTCGTCGACACAAAAATGCTTATCCCTTCAGGCCAGCTTTCACCGCATGTTTCACGTGTGGAGAGTACTCTCAATTAGGCTAGGGGCTCTTTTCCGCAGATATTCCAACGTTCGCTTCCCACAGTCGATCTTCCTTTTTTTTTTTTTTTTTTTTATTCTATTGGCTTAATAATTCGTGCTGCATAGATCGCAGCCTCCACTCTTTACTACGAGGCTCACCTAGTCAGTTACACGCAAGCCGCGCGTGACCTGTACAATTTCTTTTTTTTTTTTTTTTGACCTGTATAAATTTCAAAATCCAACCTGGAGCCAATTTTTCCGCCCTTTCGGAATTAGGCGGTCGCCGCCCGGTTACACGGTGTCATACCCGTGCCAACCAGTCCAATTGCACGTATTTCAAAAAAAATACCCTGAAAATGCGAAAGTCCTGATTATTCCGAGCCTGCAAATTTCTATAAAGTCCCTATCGCGTCTGCAAATTTCCACCACTGTTTTTGCTAACAAAGGCAAAAGCAGCCATCTATATATATTTTCTACTGCTAGTGGAAACAGAAGGGAAGGGAAGGGAAGGGAAGGGAAGGGAATCAAGAAGAGAAGGGTTTGGGAACAATAACAAGAAGAAAGAAGGGTTTGGGACGAAGGGAAGAAGGATACAGTGAATACCCCGACGGGGGCCACAGAGTGCTTCCCGCACGCGCATCAACAAGATGGAGATTACGACTCCACATGTACGTACAGTGCTTAGTCGAAGCGCGCAAATTCCCCGACGCCTTTCGGCAAGGCTGAGCACCCCCTGGCACTCCTCCAAGTTATCTGAGAGGAGAGGGCCGACAAGCTTGCCCTCTATTTATACCAGTCGTACTCCTACAGACATAGTCAAATCAAGGATAAGGAAGGAAGAAAGAAGAGAAAGAAGACAAGGGTTTGGAAGAAGAAGAAGAAGAAAAGTGGTAAACAGTGGCCAACTGCCTTTCGTATACGCATCGAAAACTCTTCATTGCAAATCCGCGCATACTCATCTCAGCTTACGCGCACAGTCCCCGACGCGTTTCGATCGGTTGCGCTCCGATCATCCTCAGGGGGCTAACCTCATAACCCTGCCTTGCGGCCCCAAGAAGAAGAAGAAGAAGAAGAAGAACACGCGTAGAAGAAGAACAAGAACAAGGAGGAGGAGAAGAAGACGGCGAAGAAGAACAAGAAGAAAAACAAACAACAACAATGACAAGTAGGACGAGGAGGAGGAGGAGGAGAAGGAGGAGTAACCAGCAACAGCCTAAATGCCTGGTGAGGATGCATGGAAGAAGAATAAGAAGAAGTGGAAAAGAGTGGCCAACTGCCTTTCGTACAAGCATCGAAAGCTCTTCATTACAAAGCCGCGCGTACTCGTCACAGCGCACGCGCACAATCCCCGACGCGTTGCGATCGGTTGCGCTCTGATCATCCTCAGGGGGCTTTCCACATAACCCTTGCCTTGCGGCCCGCCGACGATCCTCCCTACCTTCTGAGAAGGAGGAGGAGGACGAGGAGGAGTGGCCCGCAACAAACAGGCTAATTGCCTGGTGAGGATGCATGGACATGCAGAGGAGAGAAGAGAGAAGCCATGGACATGCAGAGGAGAGAAGAGAGAAGCCATGGACATGCAGAGGAGAGAAGAGAGAAGTCATGGACATTCCAGCATGCGCACGTCTCAAATGACGCGCCGCGCCACAAAGGAGAGGAGCCGAAGAAAATTAGCAGATGCAAAACAGGGCACAAGGCCCCAACGAAGAGCGCGGACCCGACGGAAAGCGCAGTGGGGGTCATAAACAACCAACCGACGGAAGCAGCGGGGGCTGGGTGTGAGCGGATGGACCGCGGAAACGAACAGGTCAGCAGCGAGTATTAGCCCCAAAGCCGCGAACACACCCAGCTTGAAAGGGAACTGCACATCCTCTCTCCCTCTCATACCCAGGCGCGCGCGGGCACACTCGCACACACCCCGGCCACACTACGGTTCAAACCCTTAACGAATCGGTGAATGTTCGGCGATTCGCGGCGAAGCAGTCTGGCCCAGCCATGCTTGTGTTAACGAGTTGCGTGTAGAGAACATTTCAACGCACATCCAGACACAGACAAGAGAGAGAAAGAGAGAGAGAGGGGCGGGGAGGTGGGGGCGGGGGGAGGGAGAGAGAGAGACAGACAGACAGACAGAGAAAGACACACACACACACACACACACACACACACACACACACAGAGAGAGAGAGAGAGAGAGAGAGAGAGAGAGAGAGAGAGAGAGAGAGGACTTAGTGAACCGAGGCAGGGAGAAAAGAAAGAGAAGCAAAGGCGACCTGAAGAGGTAGGTCGAGAGAAAGGGCAGCAGGTCAGGGAGGGTGGCAGATCGAAACAGGGATGGGTAGTGGAAGGAGGGTGGAGGTAGGGAGGGGAAGGTAGTGGACGGAGGGAGGAGCTGGGGATGAGAGAGAAGCAGGCACGGCCGCGGCGGGAAGAGGGAATGGAACTCTGATAAGAGTTCAAGAAATGGAGGACTCACTTGTCAAACGCTAAACCCCCACCAACTACCAGCACGTGCAGCTCGTCCTGGGTTGACCCCACACTCTGACTCAAACCCAAACTCGAACTCGAACCCGAACCCGAGCTCTCGAACTCAGCTGTGCGCCAGTCAGTTCGCTTTGCAGCGCAATGAGCGCCGACGGCGGAGCCTTCCTGTGCGCCGAGATACCTTGTGTAGCTGTCATTACCAGATATTGCGCCGAGATATAGTAGCGCCGCTAGGTAGAGTCTTTCGTGTTTGCAGCCGAAGAATCGCGCGCAATCCGCCGCATGCGGGTGCAGCAGCTTGAGCGCAGATGCTCGCGCCTTTTCGTAGGATCGACGATCACTACGTACGCCAGCTGCTTTGCGCGGACTTGCCCGCCGGACTTGGGCGGCCGTACGGCGGAAACCGCACCGCAAGAAGAGGGCAAACGCGCCTAAGCGCGCACGAGTACCTCTCGCTAACAGCGGCTTGCGCGGACTTGCGCGGACTTGCCCGGACTTGGGCGGGCGTACAGCGGAAACTGCACCGCAAGAAAAACGCGAACGCGCCTAAGCGCGCCCGAGTACCTCTCGCTAACTGGCGGCGGTGCGATTGCTTATGTATTGCCTGTTGGGTAGGCCGGCGTTGGCTGTGTGTTTGATTCTCTCTTTTCTTTTCTTTCCGTTGGCTGTGTGTTCGATTCTCTTTCCTTTCTTTCTTTCTTTCTTTCTTTTCTTTCTTTCTTTTTGAACCGCAAGTCCAGTCTTATATCTCAAGATTCCATTTTGAAGGAGAAGAACGGCGGTGTGCTTGCCCAACATGCGCTCCCCCTTCCTTGCCAGAGCCCTCACGGGAGACCGGCAGGTTCTCTCCGAGTAGGGGCCTCGCTGCACTACTCATGACTCGTGAAAAAAATCAAGAGTGCGGCATGAGTTGTCAGAGTCCCAAAATGGCCTACAGTTCGGCCGTGGCTGCACTTACTCTAGGTAGTCCTGCTCATGAAGCACTCTTGAGAMSCTGRCAGTTGTCSTAGAGTGCAGYGCAGCGTGGTTTGTCCGCCCAGACCCAGGCTTGCTCTAGAAATCCCGTGCCCTTTCAAGAAACCGTCCGACCACCCTTGCAAAAACCAAGGTTGCAGGCGGGCGAGCAAGAGTGCTCTAGATGACTTTGTCCGACGGCGCCCTGACAACTCATGAAATGTAATTTCACGAGCGACAAGGCAAGAGTAGTGCAGCGCCGACAACTCTTGACGTTTGCAAGAGCAACGTCTGACAGCTCTTGATGCGTTTTCCGATGGCCCAATTCACAAGTAAGTGCAGCGATGCGCACCTCATGAAAAAGCACATTTCATGAGTAGTGCAGCGAGGCCCTAGAACTCTTCTCGTGGAAGCACGTGTGAAAGTTCCAAAACATCACGAGGGTCTCGGGATACTAGAGCAACAGGGGCAGAAAGGACATCTCAGCAGCATTCGCTCCCATGGCAGGCACAGACCTGCATCCAAGAACAAGCAAAAGCTGAATATTTCTTGGAATATCAGAGGGCTGGGGGACAAACAGAAGGTGGAAGAGACGAGGTCTGAAGTTGGAATAGGAACTGCGTTACGCTACAAGAGACGAAGATTAGGGACTTGGGCCCTTGGTTGGAGGGACCTCAAATCTGGTCCCCAACACAGGCGACCGGAGGTGGAGTTCGCAGCCCCCACTGAGACATTTCCCCCCCTCAAGACATTTTCGTCTTCCTTCTTTATACCAGTCCTTGATTCGGGCTCGTTTGGTCGTTGGAAGGTTCAAAAAATGCAGGCAGGTGCAGGCACGACACTGTTGGGTGTGGTGGCAGTTTTTTTGAAAAATGGGGGACCGGTAGCTGCCCGTGGGACCGCGCACTGGGTTTTGGTCGAAACAGTGGCAAAGTAGTGGCAGGGTGGATCTTTGTGGGGGGTGGTGGCAGTTTCTTTGAAAAATGCAGGACCGGTAGCTGCCAGTCGGACCGCGTGCTGGGTTTTGGTCGAAACAGTGGCAAAGCAGCGGCAGGGTGGAAAATTGGAAAAGTTTGCAGCCCGTCAGGGGTGCGTTTTCCTCCCCTGAGATATTTCCCCCCAAGACATTTTCGTCGTCCTTCATTATACCGGTCGTTGATTCAGACTCGTTTGGTCGTTGGAAGGTTTGAAAAATGCAGGCAGGTGCAGGCACGACACTTTGGGGGGGGGTGGCAGTTTCCTTGAAAAATGCGGGACTGGTAACTGCCCGTGGGACCGCGCGCAGGGTTTTGGTCGAAACGGTGGCAAAGCAGCAGCAGGGTGGATCTTTGAGAGGGGGTGGCAGTTTCTTTGAAAAATGCGGGACCTGTAGCTGCCTATGGGACCGCGCACTGGGTTTTGGTCGAAACGATGGCAAAGCAGCGACAGGGTGGAAAAGTGGAAAAGTCTGAATCGGAAAGGCGCGGCCTTCGCCGCAGATTGAAACGACATATCTGCATTGCATTTGCAAGTGCAAACAGATGTGTCTGAATATGGACGTATTCAACGCCCCACACGTTCAACGCCTGATCGAGTGAGTCACATATGACGAAACAACTTTTATTTAATAATTAAAAAAAAAACTTACAACAGCAAACACCCAAGCACACACATATACGACATAAGGACCAAGATTCGAGGGTCACCTGCCTCGTTACCAACTATGAATTCAGGTATGTCAAATATCTAATACATTATACTATACAAATTACCAAAATCTCACACATTCCAACACTAACAGATGTGATAAACACAAACACCCTAAGTATCACACAAACACACATGCTAATCTTGACACATATACATAAATGCTCCTTTTTTTTTAATGCAATAATCACTCTACTTCTAAACCTTACCAATAACGCCTTCTTTATCAATCAAGCATATACAAACTACGGGTCTGCATCCTGCCGCATAGGGATCTTCAAATATAGATAATCGACGAGGAGACAAACATTTGGGGGCGCTGGGCGTGGATGCGGATAGAGGTGGGGTTGGACAAATGACTCTTAATGACAGTCTATGCACCAACTGATTTGAAGGCAGGGGAGGCCTTCTTCAGAAATCTCATATCCAACATTCCTAAGGTGGAAAACGTCATGAGAGTTGGGGATTGGAACAGGTCCTTGGATGACGCTTTTCGCCCAGACTCAGAAGCCGCGGGAAAAAAAAACGTGGGCCTTGTCTCTCACGGATCCTTTCCGACTACTGAACCTAGAAGACCCGGGATACACCTGGTTTTCTCACTTGTATCATAACAAGCAATGAGTTACCAAACGACACCTTGATAATCTGTTGGTGTGTGACCAGTTGCTTCTTAGAGTAACAACAGTTCGGCATGTGTGACAGGCCCGTCGGGATGGCGGTCCGTCATATCAACATCAAGGGATGAGGATGGGGGAGATGGAGATGGAGTCGGAAGCGACTGCGTAGCTCCGCAGACTCAACACGCACGTACTTCAAACCGTGAAGGTGAAGAATGAGGTTGAAACAGACTGCAGTTGGGGTATATCCCCAACGGACTAACTGGACTGGACTGGTACCGACAATGGTACCAGGCATGACTGGATTGGACTGAATGAGCAAACGACCTGTGGGGTCAGGCCACGGCCTGGTCACGCAGGCCAAACAAGTAAAATAACCAAATAACCATCTCTCTAAGTCAGGGCAGCTAGAGGCACGCTGCACGATCCTCAAACCTGTAGTGGATCACGAGAGTCATAAGCACGCTTCCCCAAAAGCAGCGGAATTCTGCAACAATGAAGTTAGAGGCACGTTGCACGATCCTCAAACCTATAGTGGATCGCGAGAGCCATAAACACGCTTCCGCAAAAACAGCGAAACTCTGCAACAATGAAGCTGGGAAATCGAGGATGCAGAGCAAGCTTCCATGCGGAGTCCATCCGATGCAGCCTAAGCTACATAATGTTAAGGCAAAAGTAAATGTCCAATATACATATCTGAACTAACAACAGAAAATCAAATGTAGCATGGTACAATTCTAAAGTCCTAGAGGCAATTGTCTCAGTACTGAATCGAAAGATAGCAATATGTTTGTCACAAGATAATGTCGTGTCGTTGAACCACTAAGAGTGGGATGGTCTTATAAGGCATGCAATGGAAAGATAGCAATATGCCTAACAGAAGGCATGCAATGGCCGGTGTCAAGCACATCGACTTTCGTTTTTCTTGCGAAAGGCAAGAGTCCTCCGGCCACGTCACGCATGAGTTAAACAAAACAAGGGTCGGCAATGAACTCTCGCCCCAAATGTTTCCTAGACAGAGAATATGTTCACCACGAGCAGGTTTCAACTACTCTCATTTCTCATAAGTTCAAGGTAACTTAGACGAAGAAAGTCCGAGGAGATTCATATCGAGAGTCATTTGGACGGGTATAGGAAGATAAAACCATTTGCGACACATGCTCAACCATTTTTTTTAGTATTAAAGAAATCATAATACTATGGGTTATTCATATTGAAAACGATACCCAAAGTCTGTTAATAAAACACCAAAAAATAAACAGTGTTCAAACCATTCATCTTATAAACGATGTTTGACCCTAAAAGTTAAAGCAGTCAAAACCCCAAAGAAACAACAACCAAACCACTCATCTTAGAAACAATGTCTGGTTGTGAAGAAAACAAGTCAAAATAAACAAGGCAACTAAACCATTAGTCATAGAAACAATGATTGGTCTTTCAGAACCTGCTTCCTGTTGCATCAAGGTGCTTTCCATGTTCTAGCGGAAGATTCATTCGATTTTGTTAATCTTATCGATGAAAATCTATCTTTTTCTCTCTCCCCCTCTCTCTCTCTCTCTCTCTCTCTCTCTCTCTCTCTCTCTCTCTCTCTCTCTCTCTCACACACACACACACACACACACACACGTTTGCGCGCGCTGTCGCACTTTTCTCAGTCAAGCCACCTCGAGCGACCGGAAAGCCAACAGGCTGTCACGCAGGGTTTAAATGATTTTTGCAATAAATAAATAAATAAATAAAATACAATAAATCCCTTCTTGTTGTATGCGTTCGGCTTCAAGCGAGACCCTTCAATTGCGGTCTTGGCATGTCCTCGGTCCTTGGAATCTTTTATTTTAATTCAGAACAGCAAAGATCATGTAAATAATCATTATAAGACTCTGATGTGGTATACATGCGTCAATTTTGACAACTTACTAATTTTGAGAATTGTAACAGGATCATCTGAAAATACAACCATCAAGCAGAGTCAATACAGGCAAGACAAAGCTGATTGACTCAAGACGGAGACAAATGAAATGAGAAAAAAACGAGAACTCATAATAATCTCAGAGAGTACAAATGAATAAACACGACCAACACTAATCAAGAGTTCTCACTCATCCCTCTAGGTCACATACTTAATCTCTCACTTGGTTATGCGTTTCCTGTGCCTTGAGACGTGTCCACATACTCCCTGAGATTGTGGTCTCTTAATGTAGAGTCACTTAAAACCCACAAGCTTTGAGCATTTTCATACAAGTCCCATGATACGGAAGTCGACCATAGCATAAAATTCCCCCCATAAAATACGAAGATATGGTTGAGAGAAAATCCCTTGTCTGGGATGTCGAAACTCTGAAGGCTCAGTCACTGCCTCATAGTCAATCGTTGCGGGAGAGATGTACCTCTTAGCCAGATCCACCAGGTCAGCCCAGCAAGAACTGTTAGTGAGAGTGAAGGGTACTGGAGGCTTGAGGTAGTCAATGTAAAGCTTGGGTCCGAAGTTGCGAATCAACTTTGTCTCATTCTCATCAAAATATCTTTCTCTCTCCTCAAGGTACCTGACGGTCGAAATCAAAGTGCTCATGAACTTTTTTACCCTTCTTAACATAGAGTCTTAGGTCATGAACCGCACCGCCTGGGAAATTGGTGAGGACAACAAAGATTGACAGACCCCTTTGCCTGAACCCAACAACATTGACATATTGGTATCGGAAAACATCTCTGGAGACAATCTTGTTAAGATTGACCCTTCGATCGGGAATGACTGAATTGCCCTCATGTGCAGGGGTAGATGTTGGAACAAGTCCAGTGTTTCTTAAAAAAAAGCATTGTCCGATGGATTATTGTTTAATCGATACTGATATTTGGCGTAAGTAAGAATGGTTGAATGTTGATTAGTCATGACCGAAAATTTCAAGTAACTCGGGTAACTGAGTGCTGGTTGAATGTTGATTAAATGCTGATTGGGAGATGATTGGATGCTGGTTGAGTAACGAATCACCGAGTTATGATCACATGACATCAAAACATTGAGAAAACAACAAATCATTGAGAGACACTTACGAACTGGGATGCTGGTGGAATTTTTAGAAGGAGAATCCAAACACCCTTGTACTTATTTGAGCTTTGCCGTCGCCTGCTCCAATGTTTTTATAAATGAGTCGATGTTGTGTAGATTACCGTCGTGGGCGTAGAAGTAAAACACATATTCTATGTATTTTTCTTCCCTGATCATTCGGACTGTTTGTTCTCGCTGAGCCTGCCTATGTGATTCCATGTCTCGACAGACCTCTTCTTCCCATCCTTCCTTCTTGTCTCTGTTA